GTGGGGGATTGGGGGGGGGGGCAATCCCACCTTGGCCGGCTCCGGCACACACCGCTGGAATCACAGGCCGCTCCCCCTTTTCTTCCATTCTTTCATTGTTTGGTCAAGACATTTTCCTCTCCCGCCTCTATTATCCTCTTTCCTCCCTCCCCCTTTGTCCACCGCCATGCCTGTCGGCTTACCCCCCGCACACACGCGCACCCCCTTACTCCCGCTGAGCCACTGAGCAGCCTAAGGCAGGCCACCCCCAGAGCCGGGCTGGGCCGCGCAGACCTCTGGCGGGAGCCAATGCAATACGCGGCGCGACGGCGGATAATTACTGTCCCGGCCTGTCCCCAGGCTGTCCACCGAGGCTGTCCGCAGGCTGTCCGCAGGCTCGTCAAAGGCCGTCCACAGACAGACACGGTCCACAGACAGGCGCGGTCCACAGACAGGCGCGGTCGACAGACAGACACGGTCCAGTCACAGACACGGTCCACAGACGACACGGTCCACAGACAGACATGATCCACAGACATGGTCCACAGACACGGTCCACAGACACGGTCCACAGACACGGTCCACAAATACAGTCTACAAAGGTTGGCAGAAGGCGCAAGACACTATATATTGTCAACGTTCCTAGCTGCTGCCCCTCATGCTGTCCTCTGCTCTGGCTGTTCCTAGCCCCTGCCCACCAGCCCCGAAACTGTCGACAAGTTTCCACACACTACACACTGAGCTGAGCTGTCCGCGACCCCGCTGGGTTCGCAGGGGGTTGGCAAAAGCACCCTCTCTGCAGTGCACTACAACAACCGTCTTAGCGTCCCCACCCCTCCTCTCCACCCGTGGTACCCTGCTCTTGCTCTCCCAGCGGGAAGCCGCAGGGGGGTCGTACCTCCAACCGCCCGCCGTCGCCGCCACCGCCGCCGCCGTCTACCAAGCTATCATGAAGCTTAACCGACTGTTAAGGCTGAATGTACCCAAGGCAATTCAAGTAATAGTTACATCGCCAAACGTTTGCGAAGATTCAGATAAGTTCCGGTGCTAAGCCTCGCCCCTTTTGTCCTCCGCCCCGCCAAAATTTTCCCAGAGCCCCAAACTACCGCGCGAAGGTGGTTGGGGAAGGGGAAGTGCTCACGCAGAACATCATGAAAACATGAGGCTGAAACGTGAAAATGTACTTTTACCTCTGACATACAGTTCAACGTACAACGTGACCCCATCCGTTTCAACCCGGATAAACCGTTGCTACGCGCTTGCGAACTCGATACCGTTTGGTTTTCTTATCTTGGTAACATTTTTTCCCCTTCTTGGAAGCGGTCACTTTCACCCTTTGCCTTCAAGAAGAAACGGGATTTAATCCCTTCTTTTACTTTTAACGCAACAATTACACATATACTCTAGCAAATTTTCAAAACAAAAACAAAAAACACGCAGTTGTGCGTGGGTATAAAAGCTGCGCGCGCTGAGAAGTCGCGAGACGCGCGTGGCCGTGGTGTATACATGGCCACCGTGGTGATTTATCCGTCGGCGGTCATACCGGGTTAACACAGCCATGTATCAGAGGCAGGACGGCGCAACCTTCAGCGACCCGCTTGTCGCATGAACGGCGCGCATCTCCCACACGCCCCGCCAGGCCGAGCCAGGCCCGCGCTTCACAAAGCTCAAAGCTCGCGTGGCGGTTTATTGACGCAGGCAAACGCACACACACTGTATACAGCAACGCGGGCGCCGCGAGGGGGGGAGGGGGGGAGGCTCGCAGGGACTGCATCAGCGCGGCAGTATAGCAGCCGGCTCTCGTGCGCGCCCGCGCAAGTGTACACACCATCAAGTTAGTATACTGCCCTATATCCGCTCGACGGCAATGCCCAACGCCGCCGTACTACAGCCGTCCAACAATGCGACGCCGCTGAGTATACTTTGACGCCAGCAAGGGGAAATCCGTCTCTTGCTAATTTGGCGTTCTCGAGGAAATGATTGTCCTCGTGTCTCGCGGTCGGTGTGGCGGGTGACGAGGAAGTGGTACGGTACCCGCTGGGCCCTGGACGACTGGACGCAACGCCGCTCACGTTTGTCGCCTTCCTCGGGGTGCTCCCCCACCCCGTTAATTAAAATAG